TTCTCTACAACGTGCGTTCAATGTTGCCATTATTTACAAGGCGGTGGATTATATAATTAAAGTTATATTGTAAATTTTAACTTTTTTTTTCTTTTCTTCTTTTAAAAAATGTCAGTTTTTAGTGATAGTGATCTAACTAATCATGGAAGCTTTTCCACTGATTCAGCCGTTAGTTCTAATAATAATAATATCGATCAAGAATTACAAGATTTTTTAATGATCGAAAAGCAAAAAGCTCAATTTAACGCCCAGGTTTGGTTAGAATTTTTTAGAAATATTTATTTTAATTTATTAAAAATTGGAAAAGACAGTTTATAAAATATATTCAAATAGTAAATCTAACAATAAACTTTTGTTTTTTTTGTTATTTGAGAAAATTTAAATTTTTTTTTGTATTACAGATACATGAGTTTAACGATTTCTGTTGGGAAAAATGTATTTCAGATAAACCGAAATCAAAATTGGATGGGAAAACAGAAACATGTTTAAATAATTGCGTTGATCGGTTTATAGACGTTTCATTATTTATAACAAATAGATATGCCTCATACTTACAAAAAGGGGCTAAATTGTAATGTCAAATTAAATACACATAAATAAATAAAACCATTTATTAGTTTAGAAAAAAAGTCGAATAGATTTAGAAATAATGATAATTAAGTTTTTTATTGTTGAATTAATTATTTTTCATGTTTAAAACATTTTAAAAGTTTCAACATGGAAAAAAATTATGTCAATTTTTTTAGAAAAAGAATTTCTTAATTAGATTACATAGAAACTACGATGATGATTTTTATTATTATGTAAAAAACATGTTGGTTTTTTTTTTTATCCATAAATTTTTTTCGGAATAATAAATTTATTAATTAATTTAAATTAAATATTAATTTTTATAGTTTCTTTTATTTCTCTGTGGCATTCTTTGCATTTATAATACTAACTTTCATGGGAAAGTAAAATAATTTCAAACATTTTTTTTTTCGTTTTTTAAATTCATAGTAATGAGAATTTTTTTTTTATTATTAAAAGGGAAAAATGTTCAAAATGAAGCATTTTATATAATTGTAATTAAAAGAGATTTATATATATATATAAAATTTGTATAATTAAAACGAGTTGTCAAAAATTGATTTTGTTCGAAAAGTCGAAATTCTAATACTAATGTATGTTCTTTTGAACGAAAAATTTTTCTTTTTAAATTGTTTAATTTTAAAAACATACTCAAAAGTTTAATTTATTAATCTAAATAATTAAAAATTTTAATTTCAATTGTTTTAAAATTAATTAAATGTGTAAAATTATTTTTCGAGAATGATAATGAATGAAATGGTAATATCAACTGTTAAAACAACAAAAAATTTATTTTTTTTCAGTTTTTTTTTGCTTTCTACATTCATAAACACTTAAATATTTTAAACAAAAATAATAATAATAATAATAAATTAAGTTTTTAGGCACACAGTCTTAAACCCTACAGTAAATATTGTTTTTATATACGAAGAATTTTAGCTTGTGAGATAATTTAAACTTATCTCATTATTAATTGTTGTTGTTGTTGCTGTTGCTGCTTCTTGTTTTTTAAATTTAAATTTATTTTCATTTAAAGAAAATCAGACAGGATTGATGGCGGGAACTTAAATGCTAAATTCAAACATAAATAAAAAAATAATGGGAAGAGCATTATTAATCGAGAAGAAATGCCAAGTCAAAAAACTTATGCTCTGAACAAACAAACAAACAAACAAACATGGAAGGTTGTTATTAAATTTGTTCATTTTTATATTATATTATGATAATTGGACCAATTCAAAAAAAAAAAAAATTTGGTCTTTTCTTTTTTTACCACAATTAATTTTATGTTGAGAATTATTATTTTTGTATAATCAACTTCTTATATAGGGAAACAATTT